AAAGAAGTTGACTGTAAAACAGTAGCGAAGGACTGCTGACTGTGTGTCAAAGTAATTAGCCTTTTATCCAAAGAGATAAAGGAAGTCAACTGTAAAACAGTAGGTAAGAGACCTAGCTGTGTGTTGAATAAGTAAATAACCTAATAGACTAGAAAACTCGGATTGCACGCTCGCAATACCAAGGCCATGCAGAAATGAAACTTTTAATAATGTGTGTCTCCCAGATCTCTGGGTTCACAATAATAAATTATTTTTCCAATTATCAATCATGGTTTTTTATGAATAATAAATCTGATGATATTAATTACAGGTGTCAGATTTAATAAAAATTTTCCCATCACAAACATGAAGTAAGTGCTCTTAACACGCTTCAGCACCATGGAATTTTCTCCACAATTGAAGCACCCCACATGTTGGAAGGCTTTTTAAGGTAGGACTTATCTTCCTTCCCCTTCAGACTAGGCTTAGTTGTTACCATATGAGCAACAATTGTTGATGAGAACTGGCACTTGTGTGATGCTGCTTCATCTCATCCCCACTAATAAAAGAAAATGGGTACCTGACACTGATTCAAAGTATTGCAACTCAGGAGGCTAAAATCAGGATTGTTGTTTTGTTGAGGAACACACTAGAGCTGCCTTTCTAAACTTCTGGCTATTTTCTAAACCATTTTGAAACCAGTTTCAAAGGGGGTTTTTAATAACATCTACCACAATTTCAAAGAGTTTTGAATATCTTCTAAACTAATGTTTGACCTAGGACATGAACTAATCCCAGTCCCTGAACCATTTAAAAAAAACAATAAATCCGGTTAATCAAATAAAAAATTCACCAAGAAAAACAGAAAATTCAGGAATGATAATTATACAAAACATACCAAAAAAAAAATCTGAGCCATTTTATTTTACAGCTTTCCTCCTAACACCAAAGCCCAAATGCAATTTCAAAGTCCCCAGCCCCGCCCTAAATTACAAATTTCTGCTTGTAGGTTGCAGAGCCACTTTTGTCCTAGAAGTAGGATCGTTGCAGATAATTTTCCGGTAACACATAAACATGCTTATACAGGTAACACCAGCTCAGGTGCTGTGAGGGAGGAAGATTAAAAAGGTGTCATTAACGATTGATGCAACCTCGATAAACTCCAGGACAGAGCGGCCCTCCCCTGGAATTTAGTTGCATCATCATATCATCGAGGGGTCGCGAAGTCAGATTAGCCTTGTGAACATGAGGAACGTGTGAAAATGACTGTAAGTGTTCAAGGTAGAGTGAATGCTTTGATGTTTGTAAACTACATCGTCTGCAACAATCATGTTGCCTTGACGCCTTCTTGTAATTGTAATATTAATATTAATGTTGATGGTTACGAGAAGCAAAACTATCCCAATCATTCGTTTACCATCAAGAATTTTCTATAATAAAATATCTAAAGAAACAGACAGGTTCTGCTCCATCCACGCTTTGATTTCAATAATATACCTTATCATATAAATAATAAAAGACACATGTATTAAAATAAATATAAAAATTGTGTACCTTTCACTATTAATAAACAACGCCTTGTCTTCTTTAGGGAAACCCTTGCTATACCACGCAATTTACATTCCTCATGTAAAAAATAAATTGTTTTTCCAAAACAAAAAAAATCAATCAATTGTGTCAATAAAAAAAAATCAAAAGGGTGATTTTTGTACAACTCATACATACTAATATAATAATAATAATCGTGTGGATATTTTTTTGTGAAATGACATAATTTTTGCGGATAATCATCAGTCATCAATGATAATAATAAGAGAGCATTAATAACAAAAAAATAATTCTCTCTGTTTTAGGTAAATTAATATATGGGCAATAATAAGAGAGTATGAATAACAAAAAATTAATTCTTTTTTTTTTAAATATTAATATTAATGATAATAATAATGAAAATTAATTCACTTTGCAGTATTAGATTTAATAATTTCTTTCTTTAATTAATGAGTTCTTTTTTTAGCAGATATAAAGAAAATAAGAAAATAAAAACTTTAGAAAATTTTATAAACAGGTATGATATTTGACAGGAAAAGATTATTAATATAGTAACAATCTCATTTTGTAATTTCATTAATAATAATTATTAATAAAATAAAATATCTTTGTAATCTTACATATATCTGCATACACTTTAACAAAGTTTGTCCTATCTATATATTGTTGTGCTTGCTTATATTGCTTAATCATTGATAATTTGTATATATAGAAATCATTAGTATTGGTGAAAATAAAATTGTAAAGTTCTTATAAATAACTTATAAAAACGATTTTGCCTTTAATTACTTCCTCCTTCATAAAACCACATACATACCATATTTTTTTCTGGAAGCTATCGATGTACTCTATCTTATCATGCATGGATAATTTTATTTGGAGAGTGAAAATTGTTTAATAATAAATTTACATTAAATTATACTTTTTTGTGAAATGATATAATTTTTTGCAAATAACTTCCTTCTTTTTTTAGAATGTCAGATAAACTATCAGCAAAAAGAAAACGAACTAATAATAAAGAGGAGGCGCTCGGCAGGTAAGTGCTTATCAAAAGAATGGTGGTGGTAGTTGCAATCATTGCAACTCGTCGTCATTCTAGTTAAAAGTTGGTGGTTGTGATGCATTACAACTCATCATTCTATATAATTCTTTATTGTTATTTATTTTTTAGTCACTCACAATTATCACCACCATCAAAAGTAAAGTAAATTATATTTAAATGAGCAAGACTGTTATGTATTAACGAAACTGAATCAAAAATTTTTAATGGTTTCAATTAATGCCTTTTTTACACAGAATTTCAAGGAACGTTTAATTGACTATGATCCTGCCGAAGAAGAAGAAGAAAAAGAATCTGACAACTTGAATGAAGAAACTGATGATTCAGATGAAGAAGATATTGCAGATATTATAGATGTCAATGAAAAGACTTTTGGTGATTGGATAGACAGACATGATAAACAGGGATGGTCTTTAAATAATGGTGATAAAGTTAGAGATGTCTTGTTAAAAATGACATATGAAATTGCTGAAAATGCCAAGAAATTAACTAAAGTGGATGGAAAGACTTTGAGTGTTATAAGGTTTACTATTATTATTATTATTGATATTTATCACAATGCTAACCACTGATGTGTACATGTATAGGCTTGGACTTTCGTCTATAATTGATCTGTCTTCTGAATTCGAGGGAGGAATGCATACTTGGTTTGGTCAAGATTGGACGGATTTAAAAAAAAAGGTTTCAAATCATATAAATTTAAAAATAAAAAAATTTGAAGGAGAGATTTTATCTGATATCATCAAAGTAGAAGAAGTAAGTAAAGGCGTGATTGTTGTTATTTAATGTATATTATTTAACTATTTTCACTCTTTTAGTTTTGTGCCATGTACAGATATTGGGATGCACGTATATACTCGTTGGATAGACTAAAAGAATGACCTAGTGATGATAAACATCGGCAAGTTGTAAAGATATACTATTTGATGTATGTTATCGTGTGTCTTTTTTTTTTTTTTTTTTGCAGCCTGCTTAAATTCAACTTTTCATTGCTAGAATTGACATGCTTTTAGAAATCCTCATACTTTTGTTGATAAAGAAGGAGAAAATAAACAATTAACGGAACTTGAATATATCATGAAGATGACGAGTCCCATTTTAGATATAATTTTTTCAAATAATCATAATATTATTGATTTGAAATGGTGAGTAATTTTTGTTAACTTTGAAATAGTTCTTAATTGTGTGTCTGATTTGTTGTTTATGAATGGTCATAGGGGCGAAACAATTTCCAAAGCCACCAAAAGTCGTAAAATTGATTTAAGAGTGTTAACTGTTGACAGCATAGAATTGTCACATTCGGAGTGTGCACGTGCTGCAACAACAATAAAAATAATAAAAGATAGAAGTGTTTAAGAACAAATAAATGTATTTTGGATCAATACCTTATGCATGATCTTTCTGAGGATGCTGTAAAAGATTCTACATTTTTTGGATTGCAATTAGCAGGTAAGTTTACCAGATGTCATTTAAAATGACAAATTGTATATAGCTCATAGCTCCTATTATTGTGTTAGGTTTACATGGACAACTTTTTGGAATCGATCTACTTGATAGAGGATTATATTTTGGTTTTGATGGGCCCATATTTAGATTTCCTGCGCAATTAATTAACATTAAGGAATTAAAGAATTCACTCGAAGTACTTTATTTTTTTAAAGTAAGGAAGTTAAACCTTTTGGTTTTCTTATATGTTCAACAACATACATCAGGAAATTTTTTCTGATGTAAATTTACGTAATATTATGGGGCCTGCCATAAACTTACGTAAATAGTGTAATATTATGCAAAAATTGCACAAAAA